AGTGCTAGGATCACAGGTGTGCACTGCCATGCCCAGCTACATTAATCCATGGTTGCGGTACGTAAGGATCACGCTCCTTGAGTGGAGCTGGTCCATGTACATCACCCACCTCCATTCCTTCTGCACCCCTTCCTCTCTCCTCCCTTCCCACTCCCTCCATCTCTTTGTCCCCTTCCCTTTTGCAAGAGATCGCTGTCCCTATTATCTATCTCTTATTTTGCTCTTTATTTATACTTGGGTTTGTCATATAAGAGAAACCATATGATATTTAATCTTGTGTGTCTGATGTATTTCACTTAACATTACAGTCTCCAGGTGCATCCATTTCCCTATAAATACTCAAGTGTATCCTTCTTTATGGCAGAGTAGTACTCCTTTGTGCGTAAATGCTACATTTTCTTTATCCTTTCCTCTGTTCACGGATACATAGGCCGCTTCCAAGATTTAGCTATTATGAGTTGTGTGCAGCAGGGAATTTTCCAGATTTTGGGGCAGGGCAGCCTGGCAGGACAAAGGGTGTGGAGCCCAAGCCAGGACAATCACTCCACTGTGCCCGTGTGAGATCGCCAGGCCAGTGGGCAGGGCCATGATGGACCACAGCCAGTCGGGAAAGCCAACATTAAGTGGAAAGCAACCCTCTGTGGCCTACTCAGAGGGAGGCTCCGGGCAGGGCTGGGGCCCGGGCAGGATGCGGGACAGAGGTCACACGGCAGCACCTAGGCCCCTCCACCCCTGTGGCAGGAAGCTCAGCCCATCTCCCAGATCAGAGAGCAAGGCTCAGCCTGTGGCTTCGGAGGCCAGCGTGGGGGACTCCTGGGGACTGTGTGACCCCAGTGCCAACTGGAAGCCCCGTCCATGACATCCTAGCCCCGGCTCTGTGACCTTGGGCCTACAGCCACCCCCTGGGGGCCGCTGAGCTGCCACCCAGCACAGCAGGCTGGAGGCTTTCCTGGATTCAGATGCGGACCACACCCTGTGCCCACAGAGTGCGAGGGGTGAGGGGCAGGGACACCCTGGGACCCAGCCCTCCCCTTCAGGCTGTCAGCCACGGTGTGCCCAGAGCCGGGAAAACCTCTCGCCCTGTGCCCTCGATTCCAGGAATGACGTCTGCAAGGCCGGCCAGCTGAGCACAGAGACCCCATTGATGCCTGGCTCCCCGAGCCTTGGGGGCCATGCCACACCCACCACCCGCCCAGTGTGGCAGAGGTGTGTGCCAGGGCCCCCGGTGTCACCTTGAAGGGCTGGAGGGCTGTTTTTCCAGACCCAGAACACACCCAAGGGATGTGGCAATAGGGAAGCTGTCTCGTAGATAGAAAGCTAAAAGCCGGGTAGCCAGGCCCATCGCCCTGCTGAGGCAGGCCCCGCGGAAGGCGTCCTGAAGTGGCTGCCCGGGTTCCGCTGGGCCTGACAGGGCAGACACCTTTGTCATCCCCCTGTGTTCAGCCCTTCCTTTCTAAACCTGATGCTGGGGCTATGATTCTTTGACACAAGGGAGGAGACAGATGTAACAGAGAGTCTGGGGCCTCCTTGCCTGCTGGAAACGGAGGCAGACCCCACCAATGGCCTCTCCCGGGCCCGTCGGGGCCTACAGCCTCCGTGCCTTGGCCTCCATCCTGGGGTGCCCTCCCTGCAAACAGCCCCAGCCTGCTTGTGGGTTCCCACTGCAAGTCCTATCGAAGAGCGTCTGGGACGTGGAGCCGCTGCCCCAAGGTGGGGCTGTGTGGGGTCCACGGTCCCCACCTCCCTTCCCAGGGACCCACTCGGTCCAGGGCCCTGCCTGCCTCACCCAGGCTTCCTTCCACAGATCATGGGGTGCCCGGAAGGATGCTCACCCCAGAAATCCCCCACGGGGTCGCTAGTTACCTGTTGGAACCACCTGGGGGGCTTTTAGAAAGAGGGGTGCACACAGCCAGACACGTCACCAGTGACCGTGCTGGGGTGGTAGGGAGTCCCGTGGGGAGGGTTCGGGGTGATTTGAGGTTGGAGAGATGCAAATTAGAACCTCAGCCAGACAGTGCTACCTGCGGAGATATCGCTATCTGAAAGGTTAGAATAGAGAAACAGGGGGACCAAGGTGTGGGGGGGCTGTGGAGAAATGAGTTCCCCGCCCGTGGCTGCCGGGAGCAACAGCACCAGCGGCCGCTGGAAATGAGCTAAGGAGTTCCCTTCAAAACTAAGCACACCCGTGCCGTAGGACCCAGCTCTTGGCATACTCTTGGGTGTTTTGTTTTGTTTTTGTTCCGTTTGGTTTGGTCTTGTTTTGTTTTGTGACAAGGTCTCACTGTGTGGTTCAGGCCAGCCTTGAATTCACTGTGTAGCCTGGGCTGGTCTTGAAGTGATCCTCCTACCTCAGCCTCCTGAGTGCTGGGATTACAGGCAAGTGCCACCGCACCTGGGAACATTCATATTTTATAGAATTGGTATCATATGTTAATATATATTGTGTACATAAGTTACTTTGAATAATCTGTCGATCTTGCATCTTATGCTCGCCATTTACGGAATACAGGCTCTGTCCCTGGCACTATTCCAAGTCCATAAGTGTATTAACCTGTTTAATCTCCCCAAACACTACAGTTGAGGAAACTAAATTCAGGTACAGAAAGGCTAATTCACTTGCCAAGGTCACACAGCTAGAATGTGGCACAGCTGTGATGTGAACCCTGACCCTTTTGGGTCTAGAACTCAGGTCTTAACCTTAAAACTTCAATATCTCTATGTAATATACACCATTTTATGCAATGATACTAGCCAGACGAGTCTCTAAGATGTGCGTATAGTGGTACTTTGTGGTTTATAAGACACTGTGTAGCCCAGACTGGCCTCAAACTTGCAGAGATCCTCCTGCCTCAGCCTACCCAGTGCTGGGATTACAAGTGTGCGCCACCATACCTGGCTAAGACACTTTTTTCTTTTGGAAATGGTATCTCGTTTCTCCTTAGTAATCATGTGGGACTTAGGGAGAGTTTGTCACTGGCACACACCAGCAGGGGCAGGCAGGACCACAGTCTTGGTCATAGGTGGCTATGACCAGCATAGCTTGGCAGGATAGTTGGCAGAACCAGCCCCGGCAGGGTCATGGGGGCATGTGGCGTGGAGTCCAGTTGGAGACAGGGACATGGGTAGGGGCGGTGCAGAGCCCCGCAGATTAGCAGACAATGCACGCAGTCCACACCAAGGCAGCCCAGTGGACCCACTGTCCCAGTAGGGCAGGGCAGACAAATGCATTGCCATTGCAAGGCAAAGCCCATGAGCCCAGGCCTCAGGAGCTGCTCAGGCAGCAGTCGCTGTCACTACAGGTCCGGGAGAGCAACAAGGACAGGAAGGAGGGAAGGGGAAGGAGAGAAGGAGGAAAGAAGGAGCTGGCCTGTGGGGGAGCAAGGTGGGCAGTCACACAGGCGGTGCAGTGGTGCTCCCCTGTCATCTCAGCACTCCAGAGGTTTAGCATCTGTAAGGGGAGTGTGGCTCTGCATGCCTCGGAGCTCACAAAAAGGCTGGCGGAGGAGGTGGAAGAGCGTTCTGGCCCACAGCAGGACTCCTGCCTGGGGCCAGGGTGCTCTGTGTCATCCTGATGCGGCCAGAGCAAGAAAAGACTGGGGAACCAGTCCCTGTGTAGGTGGTAGGCGGCCAGGGGGCGCAGCACTGTTCTGTGGCATCTTGGGTGTCATGCTGTGGTTGCTGTAGGTGGCATGTCGTGTCCTTACCCGAGGGCCAGGCTGGCATAGGGTACCAGACCCCCAGTGCTCACCCTATGCCCACGGGGGGTGGAGAGCAGTCTAGGGGCCGAGCGGAGGCCACCGGCTGTCACTCCTCACAGTTCCTTCCCTTCTGGGGCTTTGCCACGCTGTCACTGGCCCACAGCAGAGCCTCGGAGCTCAGGGTGCACAGCCCGGGGTCAGTGTCCACTGGGGGCCCAGCCTGTGCAGCCCCTGGGGGCTGGGGAAGGGCTGACACCGGACCTGGCAGCGCCCTCAGGAATGGCACCTGGCGCAGAGCTGCTGCCTCTCGGACGTGGCAGGCACAAGCATTGGCTCAGAAGTCTAAACCTGCGGTGGCCAAACACAAGAGCCCTGGATCCCCAAGGCCCTGGGTGGGGGACAGGCTCACAGGGCAGCTGCAGCGGACAGGTGGGTGTCCCACGTGGCACGGGGCAGAGGTGTGGTCTGCGGGCACTGTCTGTGGGATGTGGCTCGAGTCCCCCTTGTAGCGGCTCCCTCAGGGGCAGGGACAGGCTTCCCCCCCACCCTGGACTCCTGAGATGTGGCACCTGGGGCGTGTCGCTGGGCAGAGCATGCAGGAGCTCACGTCTCCGGCCTTTGAGATGTATGAGGTGCTCCGAGGACTATCCCGGTTCTGCAAACGGGGGAAGAGAGGTCCCCAAGGTGGACAGCCTGCACCAGAGCCCAGGTCACTATGCACAGAGCCGGGACTGAATGGTGTTAGGCTGACTCCCTAACCCATGGGTGCAGCCAACACTTTACTGGGGAAACCAGACTGGACCCGACACCTAAGGCCCAGATCCCATGCTGGGCAGGGAACCCGGCTCCTGGACTCCCCAGCCTTGGGGCTGGGTGGCCTGAGCCCGTGGCTCTGCCTGGGCATCAATGGCGGCCTCTGGGGAAGGAGCGTGTGGCCTCCGGTCGAGCCCAGCGCCGTGGTGTCGCTCAGGAGAGAGCACTTGCTTGGCTCACGCGGGACCTGGCTCCACCCCGGCCTTGGGAGAAACGCAGTTTCTGCCCTGTGTCTGACTGACCCTGCCTGCAGTGCTTCCTGTCCTTGGGCCTCCGTGTCCTCACTGAGCCAGGAGCAGACAGACTGGTGTCGTCTGAGGTCTCCTGAGCAAGGGGTGTGGTGGGGACAGACAGGGTGGCTTCCTGGCAGACCTGGCAGAGGGAGGAAAGCATATGCTTTCTCCCTGGGCCTGAGCCGGCGGGGTCTCTGGGGGGGTGCTTGTTGTGTGTGAGGACATCGGTAACCCTGTCTCACTTTTGCCACCCCAGGAGCTCCCTGGAGACCGGAAGCAGCCTCTCCACTGACCGCTACAGGTACTGTCTCCCCTCTGCTGCGTCCGGGGTGGGCCCCAGAGCCTGTGCGGGACACAGACCCCATCATTTGGCCCTAAATTTTTCCCAGAGACCCGAGGTACGACTGACACGTCGCCTGAGGGCAGGTTGTAGGGGTTCCCCTGCAGTCAGGGCTCAGCTCCAAGGTCCCTCAAAGGCCAAGGCTCAGGGTGAGGCTCAAGGCTGGCTGCTTTCGATCCAGGACTCCGAGTGCCTGCAGTGGCGGCTCTGGTGGCCCGGCTGCAGCCCGGGGGGCGGAGACCGATGGCATCTGAGCGCTGGCAGCCCCAGCGTCGTGGACCTTGCGGTGCTGAGGCCTCTGCCCCTGTGTGCTTTGTGTTGCGACCTCCCCAGTCGATGTCCTCTGGAAAGAGCGTTCTGTTTTCACCAAGAAGACTTAGGCGCTTCCCCTGGTTTGGAAGCTGGCGTTGCTCCCACCCCACGTGCAAGCAAGACGGGCGCTGGGGCCGGAGGCAGGGGTGGCTCAGAGTACTGTGTGGGGGCCACAGGGGTGGTGACAGGTGGACCTGTCAGCCACCTGCAGGAAGGACACAGTCTGCGAGGCACGGGGGACACCCGGCAGGGCTGGGCCCAAATGTCAGCGCCGAGGTGGACCGTGCGCGTGCACGCGCACACGCGTACACACTGCCCCGTCCTGTGCACGTGCGCTGCACAGCTGCACCTGACAGAGCGGCCACGGTCACCTGACCATCCTCATGGCCGCCCAGTGTGACGGGGCTGTCGTGGCCCACTGTCCAAAGTCACCGGCTCGGGACCCGAGGCCGGGAACGGGCAGTGGCAGCAGGCCGGGTGCGAATGTCCTGGAGCCCGTGTGTGAGACTGCACGATGGCAGAGTGGGGGGTGTGTGGTGGTGCTGGGCAGCGTTCACCCCGGGACTCTAAGGGTGCAGGCCTCGCACCATCACGGTGAGAGTCGGGCTCACGCACACCCACATCCGGCTCACCGTGGCCATGCCCCCTCTAGCGCCCAGGGAGGACACGCTCGAGAGCCCCACTGGACCAGCTCGGGCGCCCAGGGCAGGGCCCGCCAAGGCTAGGGCGGGGGGCTCCAGAGACCCTTCTGAGGGCGGCTGAGCCCCACGGTGCTTGCTGATGACAGCGGGGCCTCACTTGCCCCATCCCGTCTTGCCAGGGCCAGGAGGGCTCTGGGTAGGGGAGGGGCGCTCTGATCCAGCTTATGTGCAGTTGGGGGGCTCTGTCCTGAGTCCCCCCCCCCACTCCAGTGAGCCCACCCGCCATCAAGGCCGCGCCCAGCCATCACCATACCAGGCAGCCCAGTGGCCACTGGGACCATTAAGCCAAAGACTCCTCCCCGGGGGAGCAGCTCGGGGGTCAGAGCAGGGGGAGCAGGACCCCTATCTGCTGCATCCGCATTCGGCTGTTACTTCCCAAGCACCTGTGTGTGAAGGCCCCCAAGCTGCTGTGGTCACCCCCGCCTCGTTTGCCTGGCTTCTGTCTCAGCAATGGGACGGGGAGCACACACACAGCAAAATGATTATTTGGTTTTGGTTTTGTAAGACAGGGTCTCACTATATAGCCCAGGCTGGCCTCAAGCTTTGGGTGATCCTCCTGCCTCAGCCTCCTGCATGCTGGGGTCACAGGTGTGCACCCCACACCTGGCTCACAAAATGGTTCTTAAGATGATGCGTCAGGGGTGATAAGGGCTAGACAGAAAAATAAGCTGAGGCAAAGGGAATGGAGTGTGGTCAGCAGAGACACTCTAAAGAGACCCCTTTTGGGTGAAAGTCGGGAAGCGCTCAGCTCCCTGGGGAGGAGCCAAGCAAGGCCTGTGGCGGAGCGCGGCTGGCATCTGAGTACAGCAATGAGGCGGGTTGAAAACGGGATCATCCCCCTCTCTGCCATCCCCCATCGGGCCGCAGACTCAGGCAGAGCCAGCTCGATGCTCCCGTGTCACAAACGGGACCCAGAGGCCAGAAGGAGCCCTGGGGTCGGACCCAGAAGCAGGGCCCACGGCTCCCCTGCCCCCCTCCTCTGCAGGCCTCCGGGCAAAAACGGGTGGGGGGAGCAGGTGCAGCAGCCAGGCGGCCCCGCCCCCACCCACCGCAGCCTGGGAATCGGAAACAAAGGTCCCAGCCAGTGGCTGCCGCCTCTCAAAGGCACAGCAGCGTGAGGGGGAAGCTAATGCCTCTGTCCCTGGGAGAGGGTGGGCGGCACTTCAGGGCAGTGGGCCAGCGCGCACCACCTTGGTGCACAGGCGCGGCCCCCTCTGCGGATAGCCTGGCTGCCTCCCTCACGGCCACCCCCAGCTCTCAGCGCAGCTCTCCCTGGTGTCCTGCGTCCTGAGGATGCCTGTGGGCCCCTCTGCAACTGAGCCTTTGGACAGCGGTTCCCATCCCAGCCACCAGCCCAGGGTGGGTCCGGGACAGCCGCTTTGGGACCTGTGTTCTCAGCCCCGGTGCTGTGCATGTGGCAGCCAGGGCTCTCTGGGGTGGGGACTGTCCTGGGCTCCATTCGTTGGGGTGTTTATCAGCCTCTAAGTGGCTCTAGAGCCTGGCATGGGGATCCACGCCTGTAATCCCAGTATTCAGGAGGCTGAGGCAAGAAGATCTCATGAGTTTAAGGCCAGCCTTGGTTACATAGTGTGAGGAGGGCAGCTTTCCCCCCGGCCCCCGTGGTGACAACCAGGCATTTCTCCAGGCACAGCCAGATGCCTCCCCTGGTACAGTGGTGACTGTACCAGTGCTGACTGGAGTGGTGACTGCTTGCCCTCCAACGCTAGTTCACTTTGCTCTGTAGCTCTGCGTGGGGTGCCTGGCAGCCTGGCAGCCTGGCAGCCTGCAGGGCAGGCAGAGCCTAGCCTGCTTTGTGGCACCCATCCCATCTGAGGCCTGAGGGCCCTGACATCCTGCTCCCCCCCTCACCAGGATGGGGGCTTCTCGGTGTGTGTGTTTCTTCCTCTCTGGGGAGTCGGGGTAGGGAAAGTCCCCGTGGGAGGACTGTGGCCCTGGCTTTGTAAACAGTGCAGATGGTTTGTGCCAGCGCGGGGCCTGATATGGCCGGAGATAACGAGTGTGGTAGAGTTAGGAGGGGCCTGGGCCCTGAGTTCCTTTCTGTCACCATCCCCGGCCTCGGACCCCCCAGGTATGGACACCTGCTGGACACTGGGAAGAGAGCCGAGGTCCCCTCCTCCAGAAGCTCCTGGGAGGGGGGTGGGGGACAAAGGCGCTCACTGGTCACCCAGAGCCGATAGATGAGCAGGACTGTTGGAGCGAGCACTGCCTGGGGGAGGGGCTGGGGCTCCAGGAAGTGCCGAGTGGGGGAGAGTGCCCAGCAAAGCAGAGCAGGGAGGCCTGGCCATGCTGCTCCTGGCCTGTGACTGCCAGCTCTCGTGACCCACAGAGTCACCCTGTCCCCTGCCCAACAATGCCCCTGGCTGGCCAGGCCCCTCAGCCCAGCCGCTTCCCTCCCACCCTCCCTGGTTAGCGGCAGGAGACCCCTCCTGGCAGCCAATGAGCGGCTGTCATCGTGGTTCCATTTTAGATTTTATCAATGTGTCCCCGTTGCCTGGGTAACCGCGCCTGCCGCCCTGTCAGTCTTTCTTGCCTTCCCCCACCGCTGTGGGCACCGTGCATGTGGCTCCACACGGGGTTTCCCTCAAAGCGCAGGCCGGCCGGGATTCCGCTGAATGACACCACTGATCTAGCAAAGGAGGCTGGTGCTGCTCTGGCTTCTGGAACCCTCCCTACCTGTTCCCCCTGAGACGTCCCGTCCTCGGCCACTCAAGCCAGGCCAGCAAGTGGACAGCTTCCTTTTCGGCCAGGTGACACCTCGGCCACCACAAACCCCAGGAACCTGCTTGGGAAAGCATCCTCGCGGGACCACTAGCATCCCCCGCCCCCCAGGAGGATGGGCTGGGGGCCCCTGCAACCACACACAGCCAGAGCTGCCTCTGTTTGCCCTGGGGACCCCCAGGGGAGCCCCCAGAAGCGCCAGGCTCCGGAGGCGGCAGTGGCCGTGTGAGCCTGGCGGGGCAGGCGCGTGAATGAGGCGCCGGGCTTTTGTGCTCACAGCTCTTTGTATTGGAGGCGTGCACTGTACGCGCCGCGCTGTGCGGGCCGGGCCGGGCCATGTGAGTGGCCACCAGGACAGGCGCCGAGCGGGGCAGGCTGGAGTGGCCAGTCCTCCAGCGCCTGCCAGCCCCTATCTATGTCTGCCGAGTCCACTGGAGGCTGAAAGGTGAAAATGCTCAAGTTCAAGGCCTTCTGCCTGGATTACTGGCAGTTCCTGTGCCTGCAGCCACTGCAAGGGGCCTATAAGAGGTAAGTTGGGCCCATCTGGGAAAGCCTGGGCCACCAGGGCGCTGTGACCTCCAGGGAAAGTTCCCTCTGAGTCTGCTCAAGGGTGGGCGGCCTTGTCCTGGTGCAGGGTCCCTGCCCCTGGCCAGGAATGGCGGCGGCATTGGCTGTGCTCCACTTTGCCGCTTAGCTTAACTCCGCCTTCCTTCCTGTCCTATCCCGAACCTGGGTTTGTGTGGGGACCCTGCGTCCTTATTCCTTGCTGCCGGGGTTCAGCCCCGGAGCCTGCATGCTTCTGAGTGGGTCTGACCCCCAGGAGCATGGCCGGGGACTCAGGGGTCCACAGCCTGGGGGCTGAGAGCGGGGGACCCCTGCCTGGTGGTCAGAGACAGAAGTTCACGTCTCTTCCTTTGCTGCTTGACTTTCGAGGGTCCCTTTCCCTGCCTGAGTTCGCCCACCTTTAGGGACTGGGACCTGACAGGTAGTGGGATTTGGGGGCCACTCTTTGAAGTGACAAGCCCAGAAGTCCTACCGCTGAGGTGGTGCACACACGCTTGTGTGTGTGTACGTGTGTGTTGTCCACACCCACACCTTGCTCCAGAAATGCCATGCCCAGGCCAACCAGACAGCGCAGCGCAGCCGTCGCCATGGGTGCCTTCAGTGGCGTGTAATTAAAGCCTCCGAGGAGGAAGTTATTCCATCTAT